ATGGGACCTGTTCCCAACCCCTGATCATTGTAGTTGCCCTCCCCTCTCCCAGCCTCTCTCTTCCCCTCTCCCACCTCTTTTTCCCAGTCTCCCCCAGTTTTGTTCAATAAAGAGAGATTCTATTCTTGAACACAATTGTCCTTTATTTTGTACATCAAGAAAAGGGGCTAGGGAAGGGTAAGTGGAAGGAGGTGAGGGAGGAATGGGGTACGAGCCCCCGATGGAGAGGACTGGGCTGGCTCTGCGGGCTTCTGGGGGTGGAACCTATCCTGCAGCCCCCCCATTGCCCCCTCTTCCCAGATGGCAGCCTGCGGCAAGTGTAGCCGGTCTGATGGCCAAGTGCTGTGATGTGCCCAGTGTGGGTACTCTGGGCAATCCAAGCCAGGACTGCTTTGCAAGCGGGGCACCCCTGAGAACTGTCTGTCCGGGGTGGGGGTGGGGGTTGGGTCCCTTTAAGCACAGCCCTTCACTAGCCTGACACAGCTCCATGCTCTAAGTCCTATTCTGATGCCCTGCCGGCACTGCTTCCGGCCATCCTTAACCCTGGTTCAGGGTCCACTCTGTGTAGACATGCTAGTTCAAATTAGCAAAACGCTAATTCGAACTAGTTTTTTAGTCTGGATGCGTTAGTTCGAATTAGTTTAAGTTAGTTCGAATTAGCACTGTAGTGTAGACATACCCATAGTTAGTAGTTGGGAGTTTCATACGTGAGTTCCTTCAGAACTCATAAGCGAGTACTGGTTCTGGTGATTTATTAATGTTTACCAATTTGTTCGAAAACCTCCTTGAGTGACACATCAATTTGTGGATAGTTCCTCAGATTTGTCACCTAAAAAGAAAGGCTCAAGTTTGGGAATCTCCTTCACAACCACATCTATGAAGACCGATGCTAAGTATTAATTTAGTTTTTCCTTCAATAGCCTTATCTTCCTTGAGTGCTCCTTTAGCATCTCAATTGTCCAGTGGTCCACTTGTTATTTAGCAGGCTTCCTGCTTCTGATGTACTTAAAAGTTATTTTTTGAGCCTTTGGCCAGCTGTTCTTCATATTCTTTTTGGCCTTCCTAATTGTATTTTTACACTTAATTTGCAAGAGTTAATTTTCCTTTCTATTTTCCTCACTAGGATTTAACTTCCACTTTTTAAACAATGCCTTTTTGCCTCTCACTGCTTCCTTTACTTTGTTATGTATCCAAGGTGGCACTTTTTAAATTCTTTTTATGTTTTTTAATTTGGGGGATAAATTTAAGTTGAGCCTCTATTATGGTTTCTTCAAAAAGGTTTCATGCAGCTTACAGAGATTTTATTTTGGCAATGTACCTCACAATTTCTATTTAACTAACTTTGTCATTTTTGCGTAGTTCCCTTATCTGAAATTAAATGCTACAGTGTTGGGTTGCTGTAGTGTTTTCCTTGCCACAGGGATGTTATATTTAATTATACTATGGTCACTATTACCAAGCGGTCCAGCTATATTCACCTCTTGGACCAGATCCTAGGTTCCATTTATTAAATCAAGAATTACCTCTCCGCTTGTGGTTGTGGTTTCCAGGACTAGATGCTCCAAGAAGCTGTCATTTAAATTGTTAAGAAATTCTGTGCATTCAATCCTGAGGTGATGTGCACCTAGTCAATATGAGGATAGTTGAAATCCCGATTACTGAGTTTTTTATTTTAATAGGCTCTCTAATCTCCCTGCACAATTCACAGTCAGTATCACTATCCCGGTCACGTAGTTGGACATATACCCCTACTGCTATACTTTTTAGTATTTATTATTAATTATTATTATTATTATTACACAGATTTACTATCCATAAGAGATTCTACAGAACAGTTTGGTTAAATTAAAATTTTGCTTCATCTGATTCTGTCTTCTTTCTACGTTTGCCATTCCTCCCCTGAACATGAGCGGTTCTGTTTTTCTGACAGCATTTTGTACCTTGGTGTTATTGTGTTCCATTGATTATCCTCATTCCACCATGTTTCTGTGATGCCTGTTATAGCAATATCCTCATTTAATATGACGCATTCTACAGGCAGTCCCCAGGTTACATGGATCCGATTTACATCAGATCCCTACTTACAAACGGGGTGAGGCAGGCCCGCACTAGCTGCTTCCCCCCAGCAGACCAGGGAGACGCGAAGCTAGCGCCTCCCTCCCCCCCCCAGCAGACCAGGGAGACGCAGAGCGGCTTTTCTCAGCAGACACCTCAGCTTGAGAATAAAGGACTGAGGGAAGTGAGGTGTGGGAGAATAAAACTGAGCTCTGGAGAAATGTTTGGCTAGAGTTTCCCCTACAATATGTACCAGTTCTGACTTACATACAAATTCAACTTAAGAACAAACCTACAGTCCCTATCTTGTACGTAACCCGGGGACTGCCTGTAGTTCACTCATCTTATTATTTATACTTCTAGCATTGGTACATAAGCACTTTAAAAATTGGTTACTTTTTAAGTGTCTGCCATTCCATGAAGCAATTGAATGGGACTCTTCTTCATTTGACTGTTTCACATCAGATCCTACCTGTATTTTATTATTTTCCATCCTCTCCCCTTTACTAGAACTTACAGAATCTCCATCCCCTTAGGGATTTCACTGTCTAAACCACGTGCTTTTCCACTCTCATTGGCTTTCCCATAAATTTGTGCTTGATATGGGCTTGACTGGTGGCCATACCTGACCCACTAAAAGTATAATCTTTAGATACTATGGTATGTGTTATTTTATATTACTACAAGATATTCATTACATTTAAATTAACCTTTTTTTTTGTTTAGTAAAGCATCACTATACTTCCAACTCTTGCCAGACAGAATAGCTCATTGCTTATTATAAACACAAAACCATTCTTTTAGTATGTTTAACTTGATATTGTGCAGCTTGGCGCAGTGCATCTTACACTTTCACCATAATCTATGCTTGTTGAATATTTTGAAAGTGTGGTAGAAGCTCTTCTGAGGTAGTATCATTGTCTCCTCACACAGCATTCAGTCAATCATGCTGCCAAGTAAATATAAATAAAACGAAGACCTGCTGCAGTGGCAGACACCCAAAAGAGCTGAGAACATTTCTAGTATTACAGAGGATGTGGCTAATCCAAAATGTGCAAATGAAATCACAGGAAAGCAGCCTAATTGCTAAAGTCAAATGGGAAGTTTACTCTTAAAAAAGCTATTTTAAGTAAAACATAGCTGAGGTTTGGTTGCATTTAGAGAAACCTGTATGGCTTACAATTTGAGTAGTAATTTTAAAGTATTTGTTCAAATAACAATATACTTTTCCTTTTAAAATATAACCTTGCATTTAGAGCTTGACAGAAGTAGCTAAATTGGCTTACAATACTGGAAGACTGAAGTCATTTGTTTGTCTATAGATTTAAGTATAGCAAGTACAAAAGTAATGCAAACTTCTCACATAGTTTTGCTCATGTGTCTCAACCCTAACCTAGAAGGCTATCTTCTAGAGGTGAGAGAGTAAGACATCCTCCATGCTCTTCACCCCATAGCTGATAAAGAAATGCCAACACGAATGCAACTGCAATAGTGATTTATATGATCAAGACTTATATTCATTTGGAACTAAACTGAGAACTCATTTAAACTTCCCTGAAGAATAAAATATAAGTGATTAACCTGAGTTCTATTTTAAATTGAAGCCTTACAAGTGAGAGGCTCCATAAGGCCATCACTTATCCCCCAAGTCATTTTGCTTCCTGATGTTATTCCTTTAAGATTCATATTTCTGAACTGGCTTGGACATCTGAGATCCTTTTGTTTCTATTAATATGCTCCACTTAAAAATATCATAATCTATAACATGCATAGGCAGACACTTGTGATCATCTCAATAGTATCAATCCATGTTTTTGGAGAGTAAAACTATGCTATTGGGTGAAATGCAGAGGTATAAAATCATAGAATCATAGGGTTGGAAGAGACCACAGGAGATCACTGACCAACCCCCTGCTAAAAGCAGGACCAATCCCCAACTAAATCATCCCGGCCAGGGCTTTGTCAAGCCGGGACTTAAAGGTAATAAAAATGAAGTTTCTAAAATATTAATTTCCTAATACACACAATGTTTAGAGATAATGGTAAATGCAATTAGATTTCTTAATCTACCAAAATTAAATCACTGTAATAAATATAGCAATACACTTCTTTGAAAATTCTCTTAAAAGACTGAAATATTAATTCATTTCATCAAAAGAATCCATCAGAGTTCTTGCCATGAAGTGTAACAACAGCAGTGTGACATAGTTGTAATTATCTTTGAAATGAACTTTGCATCTCAGATTCATGTAAATGACTGAACCAATTTCTTTGACCAGGCCAATTACTCTCTGTGATACAGGAAAGAATGATTTTCTTTGGAGAGGAGCACTGTATAGCTCCTTCCATTTAGTTCACCTAATAAAGCTGCTACATTTACGAGTAGAAAGGTCCTGGTTTAAATTTTGGTTGCAGTTGCTACAAAATCCATACATTGATGCAACCAGGATATGAAAAATTATGTGACCAAACAAAATATATATGTACAATATATTTCTTCACCAATTCAGAAACTACATGTTGATCTCAATTTTTTAAAAATCTTTTAATTCTAATGAATATTTTTTACTAATTAAAAACTGCAGACTCTCTCATTAAGCATTTTTAGTGATGCCCACCACCAATTACGGCAGAACTCAGGTGCCATACTAAAAGTACTTCTGAAGCTTACTGGGACTGTAATTAATACTTTCCCCTCTTCCCTTGAAAACAAACCCAAAGCAATGGCACTGTTATCATACATTTATATAAACTATGTGTAAAATGCTAGTAAAGTCTTACCTCGGATAAGTTAGAATTGTCATAGTATATTCCTTGTACTAAGTCACCAATTGCACTTGATATGAGCTCCACAACCTGGAAAACAAAACAAAAATCCCCAACATTTATTTCTTTAAATATGATCAATTACCTGATTGTCAACAGAAAGCCTAGAAGGCTCACTAACCTTCCTTGCAGGATCATGACTTTGAAAGACTGCATGGGCTACCAGAAGAGCTTCTGAAAAGATTATTTTTTGCCACCTAATGAGCAAGAAACCAGATCTAAATCTTCATACTAGAATGCCAAGCAAAGTCCTTCCTCTTTTTATAAAAGCTTTAAGTTAATACAAATGAGAACCAAGTAATATTTATTTTCCTAAGAGTGTGAACTACAGAGTATATCCTCACAAGGAAACACACAGTACTCCTAAATCCCAGTTCATGAATATGAGACAATAATCCCATCAAGGTTTGTTGGGTTTTTTTGCTGCCAAGTAGATACTTTACTGTAGAACTCACTTGGAGCTGCTAAAATTCTAATCTTCACTGATAATACAGAAAAAGTCACAATCCATAGAAAGCTAATCTTTCATTTGTGATCATTTGGTATTTTAGTGTTCTGGGAATGCTCTGTGGATGTATTTAGTGCATGGCCTGAGGGTCAGCTGTACTCAGAGTGAAACAGTCTGCAACACGGGCATGTTTAAATCAGATTTATCAATCTGTATTATATTCAGGCTTCAGACTTTTTATTTTATTCAAGCGAAGCCTAAAAATCTGAACTTGATCCAGAATGTAAAACAAGCAGTCCATGGTCTCACTGGAACTACTGTACAATTTAGAACCATGTGCACGAACTGTCTTAATTGGAACAAAATACTGGGATTTACTGTAAAATTAAATGCAGCCATTTCAAATAAGCACACCTTAAGGCTATCCTTTTAGTTGTGCTCACAAAGTTTTAATTTCTTCAATGTTTAATTTCCTATGTGTATGATTCTATATCTGATTCACCTCTTTGCTTCCTAAAATTCAGCCTAGTTCTTATTGAATTAAAGGATTTTGTTTCAGCTTTTATCATTCTTGTAATTGAAGACATTAAGCTAAATGATAAAGTCCCAAACAGATATTTCACTGCTGAGGCATATTTTATTTGACCATAAAAACACATTCTGATGCTAGGTTTAAGTATTTACAACATAGCTTTTTTAAACACTAATTCTGATACATATTCCTACAGAGAGAGAGAGAGAGAGTGCTAACTTTAGAAACGGTGCTCATTAGCAGCCTCTTTTTTTAATCTTGTGATGCATATAGGTTAATTTGTAAGACCTATAAAAACAGTCTCTTAAAAAATCATGTTGCCATTTAGGTAACCAAATACTTATGAAATATTGTAGCAATATGAGATGCACAGGAACTGAAAGGACAATGATCCTACAGTGTTACCAGATGTGTTGAGTTATTTAAGTGGGGAACAGAGAAAATGAGGCACTTTTTTTTGAAGGTATCAGATAAGCCCTATGCCCAAATCCAGGAGGATTGAGTATCGCCAATAGGTCTATGAAAGTCTGTAACCATATGCCCAGCATCAGATTGTATTACAGTTTATACAAGCAACATCCCAAGATTCTTCTGATGGCTAGGACACATAATACAGATCAATCACTCACTAAAAAATGTTATGGTTTGTGAAACAGTCTGAGCTCAGAGACCTACACTGGTAATACAAAGAGGAATTTACAAAGACATTGAGTCCTGCTCTAAATGTCAAAGTGATACTATGAACTTTTAACAAGGCATGTGGCTGTGGATAAACAGACCTTTTCCTCTTTTTCCTGAAACTCTAATCTGTGCAGGACAAAATGAAACATTCTGTTTTGGGGGTTCTCTCCCTGCACACACCCGAAATGAACTTAACAAATGACAATTCTGCTGACTTAAGTTACTATAATTATCTCCATGAACAAATTTATCATACATTGTGCCTAATTTTCTTGCAATTTTTATTATGTACTTTTTCTGTAGATAAAATTCTAGGAGAATATATCCATAAAATATAGTTTAAACCTCGACTCTGTATTAATTGCAAAATACGAAATGCTAGTAATATTGCAAAAGCTGCCTCATTTCATCCACACCATAAAACTACTCAATTTTCCATACCTATTAAAACAAAACCAAACAAAACCCAGAAGATCACACTGATCATTGGCAGGGATGACAACTTCTACTTTCAAGACCAGGACAGGACAATTTAAAAGTCTGTCACTTCATCAATTCTTATTCTGCTCTATGAAAAAAGTATCTGCTATGGAGCATCAGTGGGCTGGGGCTTCAGGGAAAGCCATGGAAAACAAGAGCAGTTATGTTTCTAAATGTGTCTCAAATGGGTTTAAAATAAAACACAAGCTAGTGTCAGCAGCATTTAAATAGTCAAACAAATAACGCCAAGCTTTCACATAATGTTTTTCAAAGGAGGCAAGTAACATTATCCCTGTTTTAATGATGGGGACATTGAGACAAATACAGGTGAAGTGACTGGCCCTACATCACCCACCAGTCATTGGTAGAGCCAGGATGAGAAGCCCATTAGCCCACACTGCTTAGTGCCTCACACTGGCATCTTTTTTGAAGATCAGGTTTAATAGAAGAAAGGTGTATTTTAAGCTTCAGGGGGTAGCTGAGTTAGTCTGTACAGAAAAAACAACAACAAATGGTCTGATAGCACTTAAAGACTAACAAAACATGTAGATGGTATCATGAGCTTTTGTGGGCACAGCCCACTTCCTCAGATCATCCAGTCATCTGAAGAAGTGGGCTGTGCCCACGAAAGCTCATGATACCATCTACAGTAAGACTCCATTGATCCAATGGAGTCTTACTGTAGATGCTCCGGCACTCCTGATAGTCCGGCACCATCAGGAACCCAGAAGTGCTCTGGCTGCCAGACAATTGGAGCTGCTCTGCGCCCGGCTTCCCCAATTCAGCTACTGCTGAAACTGACCAGCAGCTGAATCGGGGAAGCCGGGAGCAGAGCAGCTGGGGTGCTGCCGGGTTGGTCT